TAAAATCAACAAATAAATGCTTAGGGTAAATGAATAACATCCTTTACAAACAAAAGCAAATTCACACTTAAGAGGGTAAATCTGGGCTCGGCCTTGTAACTCGCCTCGGCAAAATGACACTGAACCTTATTCGTTCTGCCTGCTCTCTGGGAACCCTGCCCTGCCTTGGAGAACAAGCCCAGGCCAGCCTGCTGGAGGATGAGACCACACGGGGCAGAGACCAGCAACCCCAGCCAAGACCTTCCTAGTCTGCCATCTGCGGCTGATTGCAGCTGATCCAAGCTGAATGCAATACCAGCTGAGATCAGCTGCGCTGGGCCACCCTTAGCAGAATGTTTACTGTTGTATACGCCATGAGGTTTCACAGTTATTTGTTATGCAGCATTGCTGTGGCCACAGATAACTGATACAATCATATCAAGAACACACGGGATATTCTATACATGATAATGATGGACACATGTCATACCTCTGTCCAAACCCACAGAATGTACAACACCAGGAGTGAACCCTAATGGAAACTCTGGACTTTGGGGGATTGTGATGCATCAACGTAGGTTCATCAGTTACAACAAACGTACCACCCTGGTGAGGGATGTTGATAATGCGGGAGGCTGTGCACGTGTAGGGGCAGGGAGTATATGAGAAATCCCTGTACCTTCCACTCAATTTTGCTGTGAACCTCAAACTGCTCTAAAAATATGAAGTCCTTAAACAAAAAAAAAAAATGAAACACAAGGGCCTCTCTACTGTTGCTGGGCCCAGAGCGCCCCAGCCCCGACCTCGGTCAGGGGAGGAGGAGGCCCAGGTTTTCCAGGCCCACTTCAGCTGACCCACTTCTCTGCTCCAGCCCCTTGGGTCCCATCTAATCTGCTCCTTCTCCCTTCTCACCCCCTTTCCCACACTTCAGAATTTGCAACTAACAGACATCCCCCAACAGCAAAGCCAGGCTCCCCCTGTGCTTGACGAGGCCAGCAATCACTACGCTGACTGAGGCCCGAGACCTGCTAAAGGAGGAAGGGCTGGCTGGGAACCCAAACAATTGACTCTCGTTTTAGGGAAAGGTGATTCCAAAGTTTATAAATCTTTCTACAAATCTATAAACCTTTAAGCCCCTCAAGAGTAAAAGGGAGGCATCCTCGCCATGCTTGGTGTGTGGTATGGGCTTATCTGAGCCAAGAGAGCAAATGAGTGGAGGACCTTTGGAAAATTTCACCGAGAGGCACTAGAATTTAAACATGCAGGAGAAGAATTCCATCAAGAGAGGAGTGCAATATTTTAAATTTAGCATAATTGGGCCTAATTTGGTTCAGAGCTGTCTGACATCTCAAACCGCTGTTCTGCAACAACAACAGCGCAAATACTTCCTTTGGTTCCAGCGCTGTCTCCAGAGCCACCACGGCCCTAAAGGTGACCCTCGGGACATCATAATAAGTGGAACAGGAGAATTATGACAAAGAATTATGGCAGCCTTCACTGTCCCCAAGTCAGAGGGAACAAAACCACCGTAAATCTAAAAGACAGGGAGGGCACACTTTGAATGTCACTGGAGAATTACTTGACCAATATTTACATGTTGCATATGAAATGATGCAGTCCTTTTAGAGCAATAAATATTTTAGAAGGGAAATTGTGCTGAAACACAGCCAAGACTCTCCCAATCTCAGGAGCCAGGAAAGAACACATTTCCTTAAACAAAACACTTCTGATCCTTACTTACTCAGACCGAACGAAACATCTGTCAGCTCAAGAGAGCTCCCTCTTAACTGACCAGAGATCAGCAGCTCAAGAAACACACCCCAAAAAAAGCCTTTAGATCCATTTTTCCTCCAGGAAGCTGGCTGTGGGTGGTATTCGTGAACATTTCCTTCTGTAGTTAATGCAATTATCCCTCTATACCACCAAAGTTCTCAGGCTTTCTCTAAGTTTTTACTGCCAATCACGATCAGCTTATAGACCAGGCCCAAAGGGCTCCTGCCTCAGGGCCTTTGCACTTGCTGTTCCCTCTTTCTAGAGTGCTCTTCCCCAAATATCTTCTCTCCTTCTTCACTCAAGTGTCACTTGCTCTCTCAAAGGACCAACCTATTTACAATTTCGGCCCTCAATCCCTGAACCCCTGGATTGCCCTTACCCAGCTCCAGATGCTGCTGGCTTAGGGGTAGAGGGAAGGCCTCCCTGAGAGGATGCCCCTAAGACAAGAACCTGAAGGCAGTGGGTGAGCGAGTCATGTGGCCATTGGGGGAGGCACACCACAGCCCCAGGGTTGGACACTGGCATGCTGAAACCAGTTTGTCTCCCAGTTTCCTATTTCTTAGCCAGCTGCTCTAGGCCGGCCTCTTGCCTCCAGCTTTAGCTACCACACTGTCCCCTCTCCATGCTGCACCACCCCTCGGCTCCATCTGCCTAGCGGGAACATCCTCCCGCCACTGCCTCCAAAACTCTCCCTTCCTTGGGCTTCCAGGATTGTCCCAGCTCCCACATTCAAGACACTTGCTCCACATCTCTTCAAAGTGTCTTCTCCTCATGTCCTGCCTCTGGCCAGAAGCACTGGGTACTGTTACTCTCTAAGCACTGGGTACTGTTACTCTCTGAGTGCTTCTCTCCTCAACTAAAAGGTTAAGACTCTCAAAGGCAGGAACTGTTTGTTTCATCTTCCAGTCTCCTACAGCACCTAACCAGTGTCTCGCACGCAGTAGGTCTGCAATGAACACACAATGACTCACTATTCACGTGCCACAGGAAGCGAAGTTTTTTCAGTAGCATCCAGAAGCCCCCGGGAAGAACAGCAGCTCTTGCCTTTCCCCGCTCAGGTACAGAACACAGGACTTGCTCCTGATCAGAAGATGAAACAGCCAGGGGTCTTGCAGCTGGTGGCCACCCGCCATTTTCCCATCATGATTTGGTGCGGAGCAGAGAGAAGACTCAGAGCAGACAGACAGAGACTCCATAATCAAGGGGAAAAGAAGGGAGAAAAACAGCTTTGCTGGCAGAAGGAAATAAACCTGGAGGATGCGCGTTTCTGAGCACAGAGAAGGCAGGGGAGTGAGAAACAGGCCAAGACGGTAGCCGAGGGAGGGCCGTGTCACCCAGCTGTGTGCATCAGGCGCTGCATCTCACAACCCCAGGAGGTACACGCGGTCATTAGCCCTATTTTAAGAGGAAACTGAGGCAGACAGGCGCTGAGAAGCTGGAGCCTGTTCCATTGCCCTCCCCTGACTCTATGCTCAGGAAGGGGCTTTCAAACGTGGCCCAGAAACTCAGTCTGTCAGGCCAAAGCCCCCTGGGGATGGTTCACCTTGATCTCAGTTGGCTCCAATGCAGCTGTCTTCAAACTTTTATTTTTTGCCCCCAAAGAAGACATCATAAAGCTGAGCCCTGTGGGGGCTGGGCGAGCCAGGGCCTGCCCGAGCCCCATCCCCCCAGCCCACTGGGGACCGCTGGGCTGCCAGGACACGGGAGAGACCGCCACCCATGTCCTTCCTGATCCCTGAAGGGCTTCGGTTAAAGCCCTTACCTGCCTCAGGAAAGCGAGGTCCCCTAGAAACATCTATCCGCGGGTGAAAATTCTCCTCAGTAAAAGCGAAAGTGGAGCCGCAGACACAGTCCCAGTCGCCTGCCCCACCCACAGGGACGACAGGGGTAGGGCGGGGAGCAGGCTCTGCCAGGCATCAGAACGCCGCCACCAGCGTGACGCTGCCCCCAGGCCCCGCCTCAGCTCTCCCGGCCTTAGGGGCCTCCGGGCCAGCGTCGCCCGCCCCATCACACCCAGCGCAGACCCTGCTCCAAGTTCAAACGCTGTGCCACGTCAGACGCGTCCAGTGTAGGAGCAGAAGGGGACGCTCCCCGGCTCCCACCTGCCTCAGCCCAGCCCAGCCCGCAGTCAGGGACGTGCCGCTCTGCCCCCGAGTAAAAGCACGTTTCCCATCAGCTGCGGGCTCCGGAGCAAAAGCACGTGCGTCCCGGGTCTGCGCTAGACTGGGGCGGCAGCGCCCGCGGGACCTGGGCAGCGTGACGAGCAGGTGAGACCGCTGCCGCCGGTCCACGCAGCCCAGACCAGGCGGCACTTGGCCGCCGGGTCCCTCTGCGGTGCTGCCCTCCACGTGCTTGGGGGGGGGGGGGGGGGGGG